TAGGAGCTGTAGAAAACCAAGGAACAAATTCTGAAAGGGGGAGGCGGGAGGATGATACTGTCTGTAAGCAGAATGTTTTGCAGCTGGTGTCAGTGGGTCTTCTCTGAGCTACTACCACAGGCTGCAGTTTGGGTGGCTGTTTTGATTTAAAACTAGCATGTATTTCATCTTTCCCTAACTGTATTTATGTTGCATCCATGCTGCCAATGCTCAGCCATGAGGAAGCAGCTGGTCTGTACCATGCTGGGCGACAGAGTGATAAAATGAATGAAGGGTCTACAGAGTCTTAGCAGTTTGCAGGCTTGACCTACTTCAAAAAAAAAGGAAAGAAAAAAGCCTAGGAAAAGGCATTGGCAGGATCATGCTGTGAGGAAATTGTTGGTGCTCCAGCCCACCTCTCTTGATTGTAGGTCACTGCTGGGAGGTCACCTGTACAGATACACTGGAGAATTCAAAGCCACAGAAGTGACCTATTTTATGTCTGATGTTGAAATTAGCAGCTAGGAGCAGTACCCAGAGAGTATGCGGTCACTGACTGCAGCAAAAATCTTTATGGCCTTAACACAATCTCCCTCAGGGATGGTCTGCACAGATTTTGAAAAAGATCTATTTGAAACTGGAGTATGTACAACACTAATGCAGGGCATTTTTGCTACACGTGTAGCACACTGACAGTAGGGGTTTATATCTGTGCAGCCAGGGGTACAAACAATCACAGTGTGGAGGATGCCTTTTGGTCAGATTCTGACCTCAGACAGACCTGTGTAAAGGCAGAGTAACCCTTTAATTAGGATATCTCAACTCATAATCTAGCCCTGAGGTTATTACTGAGCAAAGAGTTCATGGCCATGATTTTCAAGAGCTCAGTACCCACAAGTGGGGTCAGATTTTCAAAATAATTTGGTTCCCATTTAGCAATAAGTCCTAGATTTTCTAAAAGGCTCAGAATTATTGCTGGCCAGAAAATGTTCAGTTAATTCTCCCCTCCCCTCAATGTATATCATGACACACAGGCTAGGGACAGATATTCAAAAAGTCTGAGGCTGAATTGATTTTATCTTTGCAGTTTAGTCTAACCTGGCTAGGCTAAATCAGTTTGTAACGCAGACAGACATCCCAGAAATGCAGGCACATGCCTGCAGTGGCTCAGGCTAGAAGTCAGGAGGCTCTAAAGCAGCCCTCCCTTTCCTAAACCTTCCACAGGTCAGAACTAAACAGGGCATGGCCAGGCTGGGGCTGGATGCTCTGATTATTCCCACCTCCCTCCTGAGCTGCCCAGCAGGAAGTGTTTATTGCCCCTAACTCAGTGTTAGGACATCAAGCTACCTGTTGATTAGCTCCAAAAAGCCCATCTGCCTTTGTCCTCTCCTACAGCACCAACTGTAGCCAGTATGTGGTTTGCTAGCTAATGCTGAGAGGTGTCTGCATAAAGCAGAGGGGAGGGGGGAATAATCCCTGTTTAACAGGGAGAAGCCAGGCAGACCCTGTTGTACCTGCAAGTCTCTGCCGAGCTCCAGCCAGGGAGCAGAGGGGAGGGGCCAGCCCTGCAACGGAGCAGAGAGCCTCCACCAGCCCAAAGAGCATGTCAGGATGCTGGGGGTGTCTGCTTTATCTTAAACCAGCAAAGGGTCTGGGACAGACATTGCATAAACTGGTTTGAGCCAAATCAGTTAAGTCTGATACTACATTCAACCAGGTTTATCTCAAACCAGTTCCAGCCATTTACACACACACACACACACACACACACACACACACACACACACACACACACACTTATTGAAATCAAAATGTATCACACCAGAATGAAAACAAATCATTCACAAACCTCAAAATTTATCATGAAGACAACACTAGAAAATCTGTCTCATAAAGAGCAAGACCCCTTCTCTTAACCCTAAAATTAACCAATTGTACTAAAGGGTTAAGAGAACGGCTCCCAGAGAGGGGCACTTGTTGCTTCTCACCATAATACTTTGCAAACTGACTAAATGCAAAGCGGCTACACATCTCTTAGAGCTCATAGGACCCCACAAGATGCAGGATACAGACAAAAGCAGCCCTTCTTTCACCTCCCCTAGTTTGCATATCCTTGGTGCTGAGCTTAGGCTGATTGGTATTGTGTGTGAAACAGGTATAGACAGGCTGACTGTTGCCATGCTTTTCCTTATACACTGCTTTTAGTATCTGCCTATCTTTATTGTTGCCTTTAAAAGCACTATGTGGAGTGGAGTGGAGTGCAGTGGAGTGGCAGGAATTATTTTACATACAGAGAAAAAGGAAAAGTGTATTTCAAACAATGAGAGATCAGCCACTGCATACACTGGGAGAAAAAGTTCTCACAAGGGAATGGTAAATGTTATTTTGCAATTATGAGAAAATACAGGCAAAATAGAGGGTTGGGGGGGGAAAGAAGGTCTCTTCCCACACAGTCCTTAAGGGCACTGCTGCTATGCTCCAGGTGCAGATGCTGCACCCTGCTTCCCCCCCAGAGAGACAGAAATGGAATTATCGGCTGAGTCTACATCTGCCTGCTCCTTTCAATGTAGATTGCAGACCTGCTGTTGAATTAAGCAGAATTCAAAGTTGCTAAGATTGTACCTTTGAATAAGAAGGTTGGGTGCTTCTGATCATGGGAAAACAAGGCATAAAGGACCCCAATAATAAACCAAATTTTGGCAGTAAAGACAGGAGAGGATTATTTTTGCCTGACATTTCTGTTCTCCTAACTACCATGGCGCTCAGGAGAAGATTTCTGTACATATCCTCATTAAGCAAGCTGTGGCCTAGCTACAGGGCAAGCTGATGATAGGGATGGGCAAACTGCTCTGGATATTTTAAGGAATGACTTGACTTGATCTGATAATACCAGCAATTAGAGCCCTCTTGTGAATAAAAGCAATGGGCTTTATACTCCCTAATACTCTTTATTTGTGAGAATTTGGATGATGCTGTGATTGTATTAATACTCAGAGTCAAAACGTTTAAAAAAGTTTAGCACTACGTTTTATGTGACTGGGAATTTATGACAGCAGTTTCCTTGGCATTTGAAAGAAGGGATCAGAAAGGACACAGTACTAAGAGTGTATGTCAGAGTTGGTCAGAAAATTGTCAGGTTTTTTTCTTTAAAAATGTCACTGAAAGTTGAAAAACTTTTGACCAGAATTGCTGACTATAATTAAGGGATACACAGAGCAAACAGGCTGAAAATTATTTGTTAAAAGCATTTAGTAAATATTTCTGCTAAATCCACTACAAATAGCTTCATCAGATCTATAATCATTTAAGTTAGTCACAGACAACTAAGGCGGCCTGTTGTATGTTTCACTGTTGGCTTGGCTAACTATAACATATGAGGTTATCAGATGCACTGCACAAAGATAAAGAACTAAGGAAAATAGACAAGATCTGGGCTTTTTAATGAAATACATCCTGTTAAAAATTCATCTAGAAAAGAGGACTGGATCCTGTTGTAGCTTTATTCATGGGCCTCCCATTGGCTTGGTGGAAAGGATGAAATGGAAATTATTGGTAGGG